TGGGTGAGCCTGTTCCGAGAGTTGCCAGCGCACCCAAGGCTCAGGGCTGGGACTCCCGCGGACTCCCTGCCAGGTCTCCCCACCTACCTTGGCTTGGCACCTGAACCGTCCAGGGTCCCTGTGCCCCCTGGGAGGGGGCTTTCCCCAGTGCTCCAGGTCCTGAAATGAAGCCTTGGCTCAGGAGTGGTGGCCCTGGAGGCTGTGCGGCTGCCGTGCGCTGCCAGAGGTCGGCTCTGTGCTGCTGTCCTTGGCACTTGCCGAAAGCTCCAGCCTGCATCCCTGTGCAAGGACATGTTACAGTGTTAGAGGAATAGAACTGTTAGCCTCTAATTCTGTGTCCAAGCGAAGATGCCTTTCAAACATGAGGGCTAAATGAAGACTATGTTCAGACAAACTAAGGTGGAGAGAATTCCCAGTAGCAGTCTTTCACCGTGGGAAATATTTGAAAAAGTTCTCTAGACAGTGGAAATTTGGATTTACACCGAGAAAGATGAAGAGTGCCGGGAATGGTAAATTTGTGGGTAAGTATAAAAATCCTATTCTCATTTTTCCCTGTGACCGAGCCGACCCTGCTTTTGTTTTCTAGGTCAGCAAGAAGTTGAGGGGGCAAGTTGGTCTCCTTTTTACCAATCGCACTAAGGAGGAAGTGAACGAGTAAGTGTTTTGAGGAGTGGTGAGGATTCCAGGAAAGGAATAATCCCGGGACTTTATACAGTGGAGGCATCAAGGAAAACCTGTTCCTAGACCCCTGTTACTGCGTCTCTACTCTCTAGGACGGTGCTCCAGGCTGGCTGCCGGCCAGCAGCGGAGGTGGACTGGGAGGGGGCCGAGGCAAGGCCCAGGGGGAGCCTGACTTCAGGGGGCTAGTGGGCCAGTCAAAAGCCTCCCCTCCTACCACTTCTCTTCCCCCTCAGGTGGTTCACGAAATACACAGAGATGGACTATGCCCGAGCTGGGAACAAAGCAACTTTCACTGTGAGCCTGGAGCCGGGGCCCCTGGAGCAGTTCCCCCACTCCATGGAGCCACAGCTGAGGCAGCTGGGCCTGCCCACTGCCCTCCAGAGAGGTATGGGGAAGTCCCTGGAGCTGAAGGGTTACAGCTTAGAGGCCAGGAGCACAGGCTTCCAAGCCCACAGGCTGCTCTCCCCTCCCTGGCTGAGCAGGTTGTTTCTGCCAGCCTCCTTTCTCTCATGGGAAAATGGGGCTGGGAGTGCCCACCTCACAGCTGGGGGCAAAGTGGATGGTGACTTGGAGCCAGAACACAGCACTGCGGGGCAGGAGGGAGGCAGTCCCTGCCCTGAAGACCCTCCCGGCAGCTGAGGTGCTGACGGGTCCCTACCCTGGCGTGTACTGGAGTTGGGGGAGGGGTGGCCAGCCAGGTTCCTCCCAGCTCTGGGCAGCCGGCAGGAAGCTCTGTGTCAGAACTAACTGCTTGGGGCTCCCTTCTCTGCAGGTGTGGTGACCCTGCTGTCTGACCACGAGGTGTGCAAGGAGGGCGACGTGCTGACCCCAGAGCAGGCCCGTGTCCTGGTGAGTCGGCCCCTCCAGGCATCTGCAGGCTGTGCAGGCGGGGCCCCAGACACTTCTGGTCACCCACGCTCCTCCTGACTCTTGCTGCCCTTTGTCTCTCGCAGAAGCTTTTTGGGTATGAGATGGCCGAATTCAAGGTGACCATCAAATACATGTGGGATGCACAGTCTGGAAGGCTCCAACAGATGGGAGATGAGTTGCCAGAGAGCGCGTCCGAGTCAGAAGAAGAATCAGAGGAAGAAGATGACGGCTGATGGGACTGGGGACCAAGGGGCTCCCAGCCAATCCAAGCGTCATGTCGCCTGGACCCCGGGACCGCCGCCCTTCCCGGGGGACAGCAGTCATTTTGCTGTGGATCAAGACAAGGGAGGGCGATAGGGACAGACTGTTGTTCTATAAAGAATAAAACTGTCACCAGGGTGTCTCCCTGTAGACAGCAAAAGCGATGTCCCTCAAAAACAAGGCCTTTGGGTTTGGCCTTTTCTTTGGATTCCCAGGGTTCCCACTGTTCACCTCACAGCCAGCTTCCAGCACTGGCTCCCGCATGTCCACATCGGCCATGCAGCTCTGGGGACATGAGAGCAGCCAGCAGGGCTGGGCCTTCTCCCTTCTGGCCCTCGGTGCCCCTTGCCGGAAATGGGGATTTGCTGAGAACAGGCCCCCTGGCTGCACTTGGCTGCCCTACTCACGTGCACACGCACACACTCCTAAGCCAGGGCTGAGGGTCACAGGGGACTAGAAGACAGGAGGCTTCTGCTGAGACAAGAGCGAAGCCACCGCTGAAGTGGAGAGTGTGTGTTGAAAATGTCACCCAGCGTCCTGGGAGGTTTTCTTCTTTTTTTTTGTTCCTTTTTCTCCCCAATGCCCCTCAGTACATAATTGTATATTCTTCATTGTGGGTCCTTCTACTTGTGGCATGTGGGACGATACCTCGGCGTGGTGTGATGAGCAGTGCCATGTCCGCGCCCAGAATTCGAACCAATGAAACACTGGGCCACCTGCGGTGGAGCGCACGAACTTAACCACTCGGCCACGGGGCCAGCCCCCTGGGAGGTTTATTCTCGGTGGCTGACTCTGCTGGTAGGTTTCTGCCCTAGGCTGATCTGGTTGTAAATGTTCAGTGAGGGCGTTTTCTGAGGGAGAGAAGATCCACGTCGCAGTGCTTGTGTGGGCCCCTTTTCTCTGTCATGTGTAGGAGAGTGAGGGGCCACCAGCAGCCCTGCTGTCAGGATCAGGCTGGCTTCAGGACAGGAGGCTGGGGAGGCCCCACCCACTGCCTCTGCCCTTTGAAGATGAGTCCACTCCTGCCCCCTTCTCCCCAAGCCCTCGGGAAAGACAGGCGACGGGCTGCGGGCAGCAGAGGAAACAAATCACCACTTTCCCTCTGGGCTGGGGCTGCGGCCAGGTAGAGAGGCTGCTTTATTCACACAGGAAACAAGTAGATCGCAGCCCCTGCCTTTTCACATGGGAGGGCAACTGTGAGGATTGCAAGAATATAGGCAGTAGACAGCTCGTGAACAGGGATGATGCGGAAAGACGAGGCTAAATTGCTTAATGCCAGAACTGGCCAGGGCGAGAGGACGAAAGAGGTGACAGGCAGAGGGTGCCCTGGGGCACCTCAACTCAGAAGTATATGAAGTAATTGGGAGATTCCTCAGCAACCAGGTTCCAGGCCTCATCGAAGGCCTGCACGACGGCCGGCTCCAGGGGCCCCTCCTCAGCCGCTGCCAAGTTCTGTGCCAACTGCTCCAGGTTGGACATGCCCAGGATGACCGCGTCCCCGTGAGCACCCTGCAAAGGGGCACGGCCAGGGGTCAGGACACTAATGCACAGAGACTCCAGAAACACACTTGCCATGCCAGCCTCGCCCCTGCCAAGAGTTGAGATCTGACGTCTGTTTATGCCCTCTATTGTTCCAGAAAGAACTTATATTGCCTTCAAACAGCTCTAAACTGTGCCAAAAAGTGACATCAGCAGACAGACCTGAGTTAGAGCCACTCTCCTCAGCCGCTTGGCAGCTGGGTAGACGTGGCTTGCTTACCGGAGCTCTCTCAGCTTCAGACTTCTTTACTGTGCAGGGTGCATTTCAGGAATTAAAATTTTGTGAAGTCCTTTGGTTCAGGCCTGGCACTTAACAGGCCTGCTCAACAAAGGGGAGCCATTGGTATATGATGCCCAGGCCCGCTGAAGGGGTCAGGGAACCATGGGGCAGCAGGGAGAGGGGGCATCCCCGCCAGGTGAACAGAGTGGATGGCCAGGGAGGGAACTAATGCCAGGGGACAACGGCATGCAGGGTTCAGAGTCACAGCTGTGCTCACGCCCTGCCACAGGCAGCCGAGGGACTTGGCAAAGGGAAGAAGTGTCTGTGAGCGAGTGGCCTCAAATGTAGAAGTGGGATAACCACACTTAATAGGAGCAAGAATGTGTCTAATCTGGCACTTAAGAAACTTCTCTAGGAACAGGATTTCCACCCAAAAGAACTAGGCCATGGGGAAACTGCAGAGGAGGAAAAGGAGTAATCTCAGAAGTCCCCCAATAATTAGGAGCCTCTCCTTGCTTCCAGTCCCCCTCCACCCTCCAAAAGGGAAACGGCGGGAGCCGAGCCTGCAGGGACGATGGGCTTACCTGGAGCTGGGAGTGGTGGTACATCCACCTGAGGACGGCCGAGGTCATGCTGGGGGCGCTGGGTCCATAAGCAGCCTGCAGGGCCTTCTCCATCATGGCGATGGCCTGGAAGTGGGGTTCTTTCCAGTAGCTGAGTAGATGGGGAGGGGGACACGGGTCAGTACCATGGGGCCAGTCCAGGGAGCCGCCCCAGGCCAGTGCCTGGGGCACTGAGGGGCCAGCGTCTCCTCGTGGAGGTATCACTTCCTTGCTTGGCAGAATGCAGGTGGCTTTCTGGGCCCTTCATCAGGCTGTTGTTTTGCAGTCCGGTGGTGGGAGTAGAGGGGATGCCATGGGCAAGAACCCTTAGACTTATTGTGCTCACCAGATGTGAACAACGGGACTCCTGAATCAGGACCCAGGAGCAGCTACAGCACCACATCTGTGAGCCCCGGTCACAGACTGGACCCTCGACCAGTCCTGGCTCTGGCCTCGGCTGAGCCACCTGCCTTCACTTTTCTCACCTGCTCAGTGAGGAAAGGACACGCACCATGACAGAACCATACACTGAATGCAACTCATAGAGGAGATGACGGACCTGATGATGCTTTATAAACTGACGAGCAGCTGGGGGGGCACCATCAGCCTGGATCTGATGTGGTGTGAAAGCTCCTTGAGAAACACTGCTTACGGTGACGGTCCATAAACCTGGCAGTGGTTCCCTGCAACTCTTGAGGAGGCAGGGGCTGGATTAGGATTTAAATCACAGCTGTGCACACACAGAGACTCCAAATATCACAAACTCCGCTGCTTCAAAAGCCCGCAGCCCTTTCCACAAACTCGCATCGAGTCTCTCACATGAAGCCTGGTTTGTTGCTCTCCTCCATTAAAGAGAAGATGCCACAGGGAAGGAAGCTGTAAGAGTCTAGAATCGTCCCGCCAAGCGCCGTGTGGAAAGGGGGCTATTCCCTGGGAACAAGCACTGTGTTACTTTGATAAACTTTTCAGAATTTAGAAAGTGAAAAAGAAGGAGGAACGCTGTTTCCAGGGCAGCTCGCCTATCCCTTTCGACACTGAGGACAATTTTATTCCCAAGAGTTTACAAAACTAAGACTCCTTGGCCCAAGGAGACAGGGCCACCTAGTTGTGGGGCGGCAGCACGACCCAGGGTTCCCAGGTTCCAATACAAGGTCCCCTTCCGCTGTGGGCAGGGGGAGTCTTCTCAGGGAGAGACACAGGGTTGCAGACCTGGCACAAGGCCCAGGGCTCCACATTCCCAATCGAGGCCCCTAATCCCTCCCAGAGACACGGAATATTCAGGGAGAGAGAGGGGGGCTCGGTAGAACGGATGGGAATGCAGGGGCCTAAATCTGCGCAGCAGGGGGAGTCCTCGCCCCAAGAAAGCAGCCCCAGGGGCTCCCTATGTCATGCTAAGGGGACCCAGGTTACCTCCCGCACTGACGCAGACCCCCAGCTCACCGATTCCTGTAAAACTCAGCCCACTTATGACCAAAGAAGCGGCCCGCAGGCTTGTTTCCCGTCCTTGACCTCGTACTTGTACTTGCCGGTCAGCAGGCCCCCTGCGGGAAGGCTGCAATCAGACCCACTGGCCCGCACTGTGCCCAGAGGCTGCTCTGGACTGGGGAGGATGGTGGGGGACTCTGGAGGGATGGAGGACAGCCCAGCCTCTGGTCACACCCGCCCTGCTTCCCAGGTCCTGGACCTGGATTTCCGGTCAGGAGTAGGCAGACACAGGACAGGGCCAGGAACGCCCTCCCCCAGGGCAGCCCGCCCCACTGCAGCCCGTACCAGCCAGAGGGTTGTAGGCGTAGAACCTCAGTCCAAAGTGCCTCAGGCAGGGGAAGAGCTCCGTCTCCACCCGTCGGGTGAGGGCGTTGTACACACCCTGCACATAGAGGCATCAGCTAGAGAGGGTGTGGTTGCCAAGGGGAGGGACCCCAAATTGTCCCTTGGAGAACCTCAGGTCAGACCCTAACAATCCCAGGATATTGACAATCAGGACACATACTTAGTGGTGGTGGGGGAGGGGGCTAGTGCCCATGGAAAATTCATTCATTCAGCCAACATTTCTGAGCACCGATGACGGGCTGGACATGGGACTTCCATCCAGGAGCCAAAAGGACAAGGCCCCTACGCTGAGGATTTAATAGCAAGGTACAGTGTAGACAAGGATCCCCAAGAACAGAGGCAATGACGACACACTGCTAGGTTCTGTGACGAGTGCCTGGCTCCAAGCAGCTGCAGGAACGTGTGCTGAACGAATGAGCAGGAGACAAGCAGAGCCTGACATGTCAGGCTCCACTGGGGTGTGGGGGAAGGCTTCGAGAGGGAGAAGCATCCAGTGAGCCTGAGCACTTCTGCCAGGGGACAAGGGGGCAGTGCTCCAGACTAGGTGCAGCGCGAGGAAGTGGGAGGGATGGACAAGGGGCCCATGCAGGCGGGAAGAAGAGCCCGGGCCAGAGCAAGCACGTGCCTGCTGGCCAGGCTGAGAAGCTTGCACATGACCCTGTGGCCACCTGGGAGCTGCCTACAGGCTGTGAGTAGGGGAGGGGCTGCCATGTAGATGGCACGGGGCAGTAGGAAGGGCCCAAGGACCCCGGGATGAGCAGGCGCCCTGAGACGGAGGCCTCTGCAGCCCGGCCCTCACCTGGTACACGGTGGGCATGATCCAGCCATTGCTCTTGCAGAGGGTGCAGATCTCAGCCACCTCCCAGGCGGCATAGTTGGAGAGGCCCAGCTCCACAAACTTGCCCTGCAGGGGAGGCAGCGGTCACATCCCACTGCGGCCCGGGACACCAAGAAGGGTAAACAGTGGGGGAGGGGGGGACCCGGGGACTGGCGACAGACCCCACTCTGGGACTGCCCTGGTGTCTCCACTCTCCTGGGTAGCGACAGGGCAAGGAGAGAAGCAGCAGAGCTCCTCCGAAGCTCAGGGGGCCCTCACCTCCTGGTGCAGCTGGTGGCAGGCACGCAGCGTCTCCTCCACGGGGGTGCTATGGTCCGGCAGGTGCAGGTAGAAGAGGTCCACCCGGGGACACTGCAGCCGCTTCAGTGACGTCTCCAGCTGGAACCGGACACAGTCAGGGCTTCAGGGAATTTTCACCCACTGGATTGGGCCTTGGTGGCGATTTTCACTTTGGGAGGGAGAGAGATGGGAAGTTGAGGGCCAGTTTACCAAACACTGCGAAGGGTCTAGTGTAATGGTTAAGAGACAGACCAGGGTTCACGTCCCAGCTCTGCCATTACTAGCGCTGTGACCTTGACCAAGTTACTTAACCTCTCTGAGCCTCAATCCCCCCAACTGTTTAAATTGAGTGATGATGGTACTATCTCACACGGAGGTACCGATGATTGATGAAAACACAGAAGGACATGCTCATTATGATAACGTGCTAACAGTATCACTGCCACCAGGCAGATGGATGCACCAGACCTACAGGAACCTAGCGCTGGGTCCCTGCCCTCGAGGACTCACTGTCTAAGGGCACCTACACAGTAAGCGAGGCAGAGATACACGCGAGGGGGCAGAGGCGCCCAGAGCAGAGTCGTGAGGCCCGCCGGGAGTTCAGGGATGACTTTCCTTAAAACCAGAGTCTGAGTCTCCCAGGGAAAGTCAGGGGCCCCCCAGAGGCAAGGACGTGGCAAGTGAGGAGCCGGGCCTGAGACTCCATGGATCTAGCACACCTGGTCCAGGGGGACACGAGGCAGCAGAAGGGGCCAGCCAGGTGCAAGGGTCTTGAGGGCACCCCAGGGAATCGGGACTTTAGGGGGCCATGGGGAGCCTCTGAGCACTTTTCAGCCAGGGAGCTAAGTGGCCATGCTCTGCACTTTTGAAAGATGACTCAATGAAGCCCAAAGAAGCCCAGGGCAGGTCTGGAATCGGGCAGAGCAGCAGGGAGAGACTGCGCAGGAACTCAGGAAGACGTGCAAGAGGCCTCCTCTCAGGACCAGAGAAGGAAAGGCAGGGATGCGTTAGAGCAACGTCCCACGGAGAAAAGGCCCGGGTTCTGCCACCTGTGCGAGTCGGGGACTAAGCACTCTTCTCCCTGCCCCCCAGCGAGAGTCCTAGGTGATGCCACTAGTGGGTGACAGGGGCCTTCCCTGCCCTTTTCATGCTCAGAAAGTCAGCTCGCAGGCCAAAGGGCAGGCAGTCGACTCCTGGACACAGGGGAGGGCGCAGGCTGAGGACCACTCACTTGCAAGTTTTCCATCCCACCACCTCCTCAGCCTGGGCCCCCAGCCCTTCTGCTGTGAATCGAACCTGAGGTTTAAGGAGCTGGGCCCAGCCAGCTGAGGCCTGAAGGAGGGTTGCAGAAGAAAAAACAAGCAGAAAGAAGATCAGAGTTGTCACGGAGAGGCAAGCAGGTGATCTAGAAAGAGTGAGACACCGAGAGGCATGCACATTCCCGTTTCGTTCCCGATGTGCCATGCTGTGAGTCACAGGACAAACCGAGCAGGACTCTCCCAGGAGAGAGGGCCAAGAGCCTCTGAGAGCGCTGGCCAGTGCGCTAATCGACACTAACAACAGCCATAACAGTAACAGTAACACGCCCACGGGCAGCCAGGGTCGTCAGCCGTTCAAGTGGCCAGTGGTGGAGGAAGGACATTCCCCTCCGCCACACACCATCCCCACTTAGCTACACCCACCTGCTCCAACACCCTGGGCACTCATATCTCCCCACCTTTGCACACCCACTGCCCACGCCCACAGGCAGGAATGCCCTTTCACCTCTTACTCCTGGCAAACTCCTATCAGTTCTTCAAGGTCCAAGGTTCCCTGTTCTGAGCTTTCTTCCACAGCCCCTCCCAGGAAGTGCTCCCTCTGCCGGCATCCTCAGCCAGCTCCAGAATCTGAGCTCCCTGGATCCCGTTAGTGTCAATTTCCTTTCTACAGCGTCAGAGGGAGGCTGGCACAGAGAGGGCAGTTAGTCACCGTGCCACCCCACTCCCCCATTCGCCAGGCGGAAGCACTGCCAAATGAACAGAGCACCCAGAGCTCCACGGAGCAAAGTCTAGGGCCCAGAGCAGCGAGGAAGCCGATCCCCCACCGGTCCCAAATCCTGATCCGGGCTGTGCCAGGGAATGCCAGGGCTGTAAGGGCAGGGTTGCTGCATATCAGGCCAGAACGGGGTACAAGCCAGGCACGGGAACAGGGGCCAGGACTGCACAGCACCAGACCCAAGGTTCGCAGTGTCCCCTAGAAGGGCTAGCCAAGTCGGTCCCAGCTAGACCACAGAGGGGACGCTGCTGCAGGGAGGCTCCTGAGCTGCCTTCTCCAAGGGAACAGAGGAAAGGAGTCAGGACAAAGCCCTGGCCGGCTGATCGGGTCTAAATGTGGACGAGGCCTGAGGAGCTGGGGTTCACAGAGCTGCAGGGTGGCCAGGGGTGCATGGCGCCCTGGGAGGGGGCGAAGGGGTCGGTCCTGACCGCGACAGGTGCACGGCTGGGGCCGGGTCAGCGCTGCACCGTGCCGGGGGAGGTCAGGGGCCGGTCGGGGTGGGGGGGCGTCAGGCCACACCTTTGCAGTCGCCACCGCCCAGCCCGAGCCCCAGGCCGCCCAGGATGGTCTCGGACTGGCCGTCGCTGTAAACGAAGGCCGTGTCTATCTCGGTGTGACCGCGCTCCAGGAAGGCGCGCACGGCCGCGGCGCTGGCGGGCGCGTCCAAGCTGGTCCCCATCCCCATGGCGCCCAGTACGGTGGCGGGTCGGACCCCGGCGCCCGAGGCGGCCCGCGGCGTAGACAGCAGCCGAGACATGACGGCGGCAAGACACTCGGACAGCAGGGGAGACGGCTCAGCAGTAGGCGTCAGTAGCCTGCCCCGGAGCCGGGCTCTGCTTTAACAGAGGGCGCCGGACCCGCCCACGGGGCGCTGGGGGCAGAGGGCAGGGGGAGCAGGGGGCAGACAGAGGTTTTTGCTGAGTCATCGAGTAAGTGTAAGTTCAACTACAAGACAATGTGCGCGGTCCCCACGCCCCCGGCTCCTGCCCAGCCTGGAGGCCGGGCTGCGCTGCCACCGCGTAAGGGCGGGAGGGCTGTGGCCTCGGGCGAGTGACCTGGGTCTTGGCCGCAGGTCCGGGATGGGTGAGCCTGTTCCGAGAGTTGCCAGCGCACCCAAGGCTCAGGGCTGGGACTCCCGCGGACTCCCTGCCAGGTCTCCCCACCTACCTTGGCTTGGCACCTGAACCGTCCAGGGTCCCTGTGCCCCCTGGGAGGGGGCTTTCCCCAGTGCTCCAGGTCCTGAAATGAAGCCTTGGCTCAGGAGTGGTGGCCCTGGAGGCTGTGCGGCTGCCGTGCGCTGCCAGAGGTCGGCTCTGTGCTGCTGTCCTTGGCACTTGCCGAAAGCTCCAGCCTGCATCCCTGTGCAAGGACATGTTACAGTGTTAGAGGAATAGAACTGTTAGCCTCTAATTCTGTGTCCAAGCGAAGATGCCTTTCAAACATGAGGGCTAAATGAAGACTATGTTCAGACAAACTAAGGTGGAGAGAATTCCCAGTAGCAGTCTTTCACCGTGGGAAATATTTGAAAAAGTTCTCTAGACAGTGGAAATTTGGATTTACACCGAGAAAGATGAAGAGTGCCGGGAATGGTAAATTTGTGGGTAAGTATAAAAATCCTATTCTCATTTTTCCCTGTGACCGAGCCGACCCTGCTTTTGTTTTCTAGGTCAGCAAGAAGTTGAGGGGGCAAGTTGGTCTCCTTTTTACCAATCGCACTAAGGAGGAAGTGAACGAGTAAGTGTTTTGAGGAGTGGTGAGGATTCCAGGAAAGGAATAATCCCGGGACTTTATACAGTGGAGGCATCAAGGAAAACCTGTTCCTAGACCCCTGTTACTGCGTCTCTACTCTCTAGGACGGTGCTCCAGGCTGGCTGCCGGCCAGCAGCGGAGGTGGACTGGGAGGGGGCCGAGGCAAGGCCCAGGGGGAGCCTGACTTCAGGGGGCTAGTGGGCCAGTCAAAAGCCTCCCCTCCTACCACTTCTCTTCCCCCTCAGGTGGTTCACGAAATACACAGAGATGGACTATGCCCGAGCTGGGAACAAAGCAACTTTCACTGTGAGCCTGGAGCCGGGGCCCCTGGAGCAGTTCCCCCACTCCATGGAGCCACAGCTGAGGCAGCTGGGCCTGCCCACTGCCCTCCAGAGAGGTATGGGGAAGTCCCTGGAGCTGAAGGGTTACAGCTTAGAGGCCAGGAGCACAGGCTTCCAAGCCCACAGGCTGCTCTCCCCTCCCTGGCTGAGCAGGTTGTTTCTGCCAGCCTCCTTTCTCTCATGGGAAAATGGGGCTGGGAGTGCCCACCTCACAGCTGGGGGCAAAGTGGATGGTGACTTGGAGCCAGAACACAGCACTGCGGGGCAGGAGGGAGGCAGTCCCTGCCCTGAAGACCCTCCCGGCAGCTGAGGTGCTGACGGGTCCCTACCCTGGCGTGTACTGGAGTTGGGGGAGGGGTGGCCAGCCAGGTTCCTCCCAGCTCTGGGCAGCCGGCAGGAAGCTCTGTGTCAGAACTAACTGCTTGGGGCTCCCTTCTCTGCAGGTGTGGTGACCCTGCTGTCTGACCACGAGGTGTGCAAGGAGGGCGACGTGCTGACCCCAGAGCAGGCCCGTGTCCTGGTGAGTCGGCCCCTCCAGGCATCTGCAGGCTGTGCAGGCGGGGCCCCAGACACTTCTGGTCACCCACGCTCCTCCTGACTCTTGCTGCCCTTTGTCTCTCGCAGAAGCTTTTTGGGTATGAGATGGCCGAATTCAAGGTGACCATCAAATACATGTGGGATGCACAGTCTGGAAGGCTCCAACAGATGGGAGATGAGTTGCCAGAGAGCGCGTCCGAGTCAGAAGAAGAATCAGAGGAAGAAGATGACGGCTGATGGGACTGGGGACCAAGGGGCTCCCAGCCAATCCAAGCGTCATGTCGCCTGGACCCCGGGACCGCCGCCCTTCCCGGGGGACAGCAGTCATTTTGCTGTGGATCAAGACAAGGGAGGGCGATAGGGACAGACTGTTGTTCTATAAAGAATAAAACTGTCACCAGGGTGTCTCCCTGTAGACAGCAAAAGCGATGTCCCTCAAAAACAAGGCCTTTGGGTTTGGCCTTTTCTTTGGATTCCCAGGGTTCCCACTGTTCACCTCACAGCCAGCTGCCAGCACTGGCTCCCGCATGTCCACATCGGCCATGCAGCTCTGGGGACATGAGAGCAGCCAGCAGGGCTGGGCCTTCTCCCTTCTGGCCCTCGGTGCCCCTTGCCGGAAATGGGGATTTGCTGAGAACAGGCCCCCTGGCTGCACTTGGCTGCCCTACACACGTGCACACGCACACACTCCTAAGCCAGGGCTGAGGGTCACAGGGGACTAGAAGACAGGAGGCTTCAGCTGAGACAAGAGCGAAGCCACCGCTGAAGTGGAGAGTGTGTGTCAAAATGTCACCCAGCGTCCTGGGAGGTTTTCTTCTTTTTTTTTGTTCCTTTTTCTCTCCAATGCCCCTCAGTACATAATTGTATATTCTTCATTGTGGGTCCTTCTACTTGTGGCATGTGGGACGATGCCTCGGCGTGGTGTGATGAGCAGTGCCATGTCCGCGCCCAGAATTCAAACCAATGAAACACTGGGCCACCAGGGTGGAGCGCACGAACTTAACCACTCGGCCACGGGGCCAGCCCCCTGGGAGGTTTTATTCTCGGTGCTGACTCTGCTGGTAGGTTTCTGCCCTAGCTGATCTGTTTGTAAATGTTCAGTGAGGGCGTTTCTGAAGGAGAGAAGATCCACGTCGCAGTGCTTGTGTGGCCCCCTTTCTCTGTCATGTGTAGGAGAGTGAGGGCCACCAGCAGCCCTGCTGTCAGGATCAGGCTGGCTTCAGGACAGGAGGCTGGGGAGGCCCCACCCACTGCCTCTGCCCTTTGAAGATGAGTCCACTCCTGCCCCCTTCTCCCCAAGCCCTCGGGAAAGACAGGCGACGGGCTGCGGGCAGCAGAGGAAACAAATCACCACTTTCCCTCTGGGCTGGGGCTGCGGCCAGGTAGAGAGGCTGCTTTATTCACACAGGAAACAAGTAGATCGCAGCCCCTGCCTTTTCACATGGGAGGGCAACTGTGAGGATTGCAAGAATATAGGCAGTAGACAGCTCGTGAACAGGGATGATGCGGAAAGACGAGGCTAAATTGCTTAATGCCAGAACTGGCCAGGGCGAGAGGACGAAAGAGGTGACAGGCAGAGGGTGCCCTGGGGCACCTCAACTCAGAAGTATATGAAGTAATTGGGAGATTCCTCAGCAACCAGGTTCCAGGCCTCATCGAAGGCCTGCACGACGGCCGGCTCCAGGGGCCCCTCCTCAGCCGCTGCCAAGTTCTGTGCCAACTGCTCCAGGTTGGACATGCCCAGGATGACCGCGTCCCCGTGAGCACCCTGCAAAGGGGCACGGCCAGGGGTCAGGACACTAATGCACAGAGACTCCAGAAACACACTTGCCATGCCAGCCTCGCCCCTGCCAAGAGTTGAGATCTGACGTCTGTTTATGCCCTCTATTGTTCCAGAAAGAACTTATATTGCCTTCAAACAGCTCTAAACTGTGCCAAAAAGTGACATCAGCAGACAGACCTGAGTTAGAGCCACTCTCCTCAGCCGCTTGGCAGCTGGGTAGACGTGGCTTGCTTACCGGAGCTCTCTCAGCTTCAGACTTCTTTACTGTGCAGGGTGATTCCAGGAATTAAAATTTTGTGAAGTCCTTTGGTTCAGGCCTGGCACTTAACAGGCCTGCTCAACAAAGGGGAGCCATTGGTATATGATGCCCAGGCCCGCTGAAGGGGTCAGGGAACCATGGGGCAGCAGGGAGAGGGGGCATCCCCGCCAGGTGAACAGAGTGGATGGCCAGGGAGGGAACTAATGCCAGGGGACAACGGCATGCAGGGTTCAGAGTCACAGCTGTGCTCACGCCCTGCCACAGGCAGCCGAGGGACTTGGCAAAGGGAAGAAGTGTCTGTGAGCGAGTGGCCTCAAATGTAGAAGTGGGATAACCACACTTAATAGGAGCAAGAATGTGTCTAATCTGGCACTTAAGAAACTTCTCTAGGAACAGGATGTCCACCCCAAAAGAACCTAGTCCATGAGGATACTGCAGAGGAGGAAAAGGAGTAATCTCAGAAGTCCCCCAATAATTAGGAGCCTCTCCTTGCTTCCAGTCCCCCTCCACCCTCCAAAAGGGAACGGCGGGAGCCGAGCCTGCAGGGACGATGGGCTTACCTGGAGCTGGGAGTGGTGGTACATCCCACCTGAGGACGGCCGAGGTCATGCTGGGGGCGCTGGGTCCATAAGCAGCCTGCAGGGCCTTCTCCATCATGGCGATGGCCTGGAAGTGGGGTTCCTTCCAGTAGCTGAGTAGATGGGGAGGGGGACACGGGTCAGTACCATGGGGCCAGTCCAGGGAGCCGCCCCAGGCCAGTGCCTGGGGCACTGAGGGGCCAGCGTCTCCTCGTGGAGGTATCACTTCCTTGCTTGGCAGAATGCAGGTGGCTTTCTGGGCCCTTCATCAGGCTGTTGTTTTGCAGTCCGGTGGTGGGAGTAGAGGGGATGCCATGGGCAAGAACCCTTAGACTTATTGTGCTCACCAGATGTGAACAACGGGACTCCTGAATCAGGACCCAGGAGCAGCTACAGCACCACATCTGTGAGCCCCGGTCACAGACTGGACCCTCGACCAGTCCTGGCTCTGGCCTCGGCTGAGCCACCTGCCTTCACTTTTCTCACCTGCTCAGTGAGGAAAGGACACGCACCATGACAGAACCATACACTGAATGCAACTCATAGAGGAGATGACGGACCTGATGATGCTTTATAAACTGACGAGCAGCTGGGGGGGCACCATCAGCCTGGATCTGATGTGGTGTGAAAGCTCCTTGAGAAACACTGCTTACGGTGACGGTCCATAAACCTGGCAGTGGTTCCCTGCAACTCTTGAGGAGGCAGGGGCTGGATTAGGATTTAAATCACAGCTGTGCACACACAGAGACTCCAAATATCACAAACTCCGCTGCTTCAAAAGCCCGCAGCCCTTTCCACAAACTCGCATCGAGTCTCTCACATGAAGCCTGGTTTGTTGCTCTCCTCCATTAAAGAGAAGATGCCACAGGGAAGGAAGCTGTAAGAGTCTAGAATCGTCCCGCCAAGCGCCGTGTGGAAAGGGGGCTATTCCCTGGGAACAAGCACTGTGTTACTTTGATAAACTTTTCAGAATTTAGAAAGTGAAAAAGAAGGAGGAACGCTGTTTCCAGGGCAGCTCGCCTATCCCTTTCGACACTGAGGACAATTTTATTCCCAAGAGTTTACAAAACTAAGACTCCTTGGCCCAAGGAGACAGGGCCACCTAGTTGTGGGGCGGCAGCACGACCCAGGGTTCCCAGGTTCCAATACAAGGTCCCCTTCCGCTGTGGGCAGGGGGAGTCTTCTCAGGGAGAGACACAGGGTTGCAGACCTGGCACAAGGCCCAGGGCTCCACATTCCCAATCGAGGCCCCTAATCCCTCCCAGAGACACGGAATATTCAGGGAGAGAGAGGGGGGCTCGGTAGAACGGATGGGAATGCAGGGGCCTAAATCTGCGCAGCAGTGGGAGTCTCGCCCTAGAAGCAGCCCAGGGCTCCATATGTCATGCTAGAGACCCAGGTTACCTCCCGCACTGACGCAGAGCACAGCTCACCGATTCCCTGTAAACTCAGCCCACTTATGACCAAAGAAGCGGCCGCAGGCTGTTTCCCGTCCTTGACCTCGTACTCGTACTTGCCGGTCAGCAGGGCCCCTGCGGGAAGGCTGCAATCAGACCCACTGGCCCGCACTGTGCCCAGAGGCTGCTCTGGACTGGGGAGGATGGTGGGGGACTCTGGAGGGATGGAGGACAGCCCAGCCTCTGGTCACACCCGCCCTGCTTCCCAGGTCCTGGACCTGGATTTCCGGTCAGGAGTAGGCAGACACAGGACAGGGCCAGGAACGCCCTCCCCCAGGGGAGCCCGCCCCACTGCAGCCCGTACCAGCCAGAGGGTTGTAGGCGTAGAACCTCAGTCCAAAGTGCCTCAGGCAGGGGAAGAGCTCCGTCTCCACCCGTCGGGTGAGGGCGTTGTACACACCCTGCACATAGAGGCATCAGCTAGAGAGGGTGTGGTTGCCAAGGGGAGGGACCCCAAATTGTCTCTTGGAGAACCTCAGGTCAGACCCTAACAATCCCAGGATATTGACAATCAGGGCACATACTTAGTGGTGGTGGAAGAGAGGCTAGTGCCCATGGAAAATTCATTCATTCAGCCAACATTTCTGAGCACCGATGACGGGCTGGACATGGGACTTCCATCCAGGAGCCAAAAGGACAAGGCCCCTACGCTGAGGATTTAATAGCAAGGTACAGTGTAGACAAGGATCCCCAAGAACAGAGGCAATGACGACACACTGCTAGGTTCTGTGACGAGTGCCTGGCTCCAAGCAGCTGCAGGAACGTGTGCTGAACGAATGAGCAGGAGACAAGCAGAGCCTGACATGTCAGGCTCCACTGGGGTGTGGGGGAAGGCTTCGAGAGGGAGAAGCATCCAGTGAGCCTGAGCACTTCTGCCAGGGGACAAGGGGGCAGTGCTCCAGACTAGGTGCAGCGCGAGGAAGTGGGAGGGATGGACAAGGGGCCCATGCAGGCGGGAAGAAGAGCCCGGGACAGAGCAAGCACGTGCCTGCTGGCCAGGCTGAGAAGCTTGCACATGACCCTGTGGCCACCTGAGAGCTGCCTACAGGCTGTGAGTAGGGGAGGGGCTGCCATGTAGATGGCACGGGGCAGTAGGAAGGGCCCAAGGACCCCGGGATGAGCAGGCGCCCTGAGACGGAGGCCTCTGCAGCCCGGCCCTCACCTGGTACACGGTGGGCATGATCCAGCCATTGCTCTTGCAGAGGGTGCAGATCTCAGCCACCTCCCAGGCGGCATAGTTGGAGAGGCCCAGCTCCACAAACTTGCCCTGCAGGGGAGGCAGCGGTCACATCCCACTGCGGCCCGGGACACCAAGAAGGGTAAACAGTGGGGAGGGGGGGACCCGGGGACTGGCGACAGACCCCACTC